ATAATGGCCACACTGCCAGCTGTCAAAACTGTAAAACATTATGGAAGACTGGACACTCACGATATGGAGCATGATGTAGTCTCCTAGTCTGGGGGCGCTGTCAATGCGAACCAGAATCCCGTCCTTGATGGTGCTGCTGAAGCCCACCGCCAGTCTATCGGTTCTAGTGCTGGGCCTCTCGTTATTGGGCCATGTGTATGTGATAAGTCCTCCTCCCTTTCCAAAGATGTATGTAGCTCCAGCTGCAGGGAGAAATAGAGAAAGAATAGTGTTAGCAAATCTTGCATTGTAAATGAACAAGCAGACAGCAAAAAGCTTATGAAAAGATTGCAATAATGCAGTTACAGGCATCAATTGCCAAAATGTCTCAGAAGGTATTCATTTAAATATAATCAGTTTGTCCTCAGAAAATGTAAACAGGTGGGGCATAAAATTAGATGTGTCAAAATATCAGATCTGTGCATTACATCTTGCACTTTAACAGGCATTTTTGGTTGATGTTGTTAATATTAACAAGAAAAAGAAAACCACTGCTCCTGACTGGAGAGTTTTAGTAGCTTTACTACAAATGAACACGAAGACAAAGTAAGACCTAAAGAAAAACAGTACAGCTAATTGATACAGCTCTTCAGCTTTTCAGTTCTCTGTTGTATGTTTGGCCTATTGGTTTTATTTGTCCTGTTGCTTGTGTCTTCAACAGAACATTAGATATTCTTGCTGTGGCATGAGATTGCACTGTTGTAGAGTGACAAAACAATAATAATAATAATAAATAAACAAACTAGATCTCTGTTAATAGTGTTTACGTATTCAAGGAAATGATACGTAAAACACATATGGCTAAATCCTCAGCTTCACAGATCACATGGTGTATTTAAGACCCTTTTAGTATGTTTTTCAAATGGTACCCTGGTTACCCTAGGATCAGGCTCTTGTTTTATCATTGTGATTCATGCAGAATAAATTAGAAGTTTGTCTGCGATCACTGTGAAACCTCCAATGGGGTGCTAAACAAGCACATATCTTTTTATGCTAGCTTTAGTGACCTAATTTTCATGGCGACTCTTAGACCTTGGCTGGAGTGTCCAGCCCTTGAGCTGAGCTGTGGGATCAACGCTTGGCCCTCAAGCCTCTTAAACGGGGCTCTATCCAGGGAAAAGCTTGAAGTCGCCAAAAAAAAAGAAAGACTCAAAATCCTCATACATTATACATGAATCTGCAACTAGAGAACAAAAGCAGGCAGAGAAATAAAATCAAACAACCTTTTCCAAGTGCAACTTTACAAACACAAAAGGGCAAATTAAATAAGCTGGACGTTGGCTCCTCAGGAAGTATTCTCATTATGCTTTCAGATCACACGAATTGCAAAAGATAAAACGAGTGGCAAAACTCCAAAAAGTTTCTTTGAATCATAGTAATTAACGCTCTTAAATCAGAACCATTTACTAATGTCTGGACAACAATGTAATCAATTATGCCCAGGTCTCTGAGATCTAGAACTGTTAAAACATCAGAATCTTTTGGAATCTATTCCAGGGATCATAATGTAGACATAATTATAGTTGTGTTCAACATAACGGACAGCAAAACATAAGAAGCTGCCATTTAGAGTAGAATCCTAATGGTCACAGAACCTCATAAGTAATCAATCTGGAAAGTTCTACATAAAATCTGTAGAAAAATCTATAATGTCCTGTCAGAAAATTAGCAGTACATTTTCTGTTAAAATTACAGGCAATTCCTTCAACACTAAAACACAACACAATGCATGCATATTTCAAAATGTAAAACACCGGTAAAAACACAATACATTACATTTTATGTATTGACTCTATATTAAGAGTAACCGACATATTTTAATTTTAGGGACTTTTCTTAGATTGGATTTCACAAAATCACTCACTTTATTTTATTTTTATATTATATTATATGATATGATTTGATTAGATTTTTTATTTATTTTTATACACTCTACTAAGCAT